GCGGCACGACGAGAGCGACTCTCGATAGCTGGCTTTTGTGGCGATTGCGGTGGTCCTTGAGCGGCACGACGAGAGCGACTCTCGATAGCTGGCTTTTGTGGCGATTGCGGTATAGCCTGAGCATTTGTGGAGTGCTGTAAAGCGAATTAGGACTACATGTTATTGAGTTGCTTTATTATTAAAACGGACGAAAAATTTATTACATACCCACAATGCTGCCAAAGCACAGCAAACACAAGCGATCAAAATTAATGCGCGCATCTTTGCTTGAAGCACCTCTCTGTATTTGTTTGAACTGTCGTCACTTGAATACTACTTTCCCAACAAATGCTCCAACCTGGTTTTTATAGTTTTACCACCAAACAACAATTTCTCATAGTGTAGATCGTATCGTAAATTGAAAGTATATTTCTTTTTAAATTCAACACGCAATGCCGTACCATTTGAAAAGTAATTATGGGTATATACAATAAATTATTGAAAATTATGAGAATAAATTTTTAAAACTAATTAAGTGATAATAAACATGATATTTGTTTAATTGCAACAAATTTTCGTGCAACTAAATTTAAATATATTTTTGTTAGTATATATACATACATATTTCGAGAGAAAATTTCAATATACGTGAACATATTTTCGAGAAAGCGCTTTAAAAATTACTACAGAAATTTTTAATGATCATTACAAGTATAACGGGTAATTTACTGCGGTTTCAGTTTAATTAACTAGTGGAAAGTAGTAATCTCAAAGCCTTTTCCATTTTAACGGTTTCAAAGTAAAGTAAACTAAGTTCGACAAGTAAGAGCTTTCGAGATTTATGCCTATATTGATACACTGAATAGGGTATATTAACTTTGCCTACTACACCCAGAAGGAAAAATCAGAGACCCTATAAAGCATATATAAATGATCAACGTGACGAGTTAAGACAATTTTCCGTCTATCTGTCTGTCTGTATATACTCTTACTAGATTTCAAATTTTGCACACGTAGCAATGAACTGCTCATTAGTCGAAACCGCCGTTATCAGACCACTATAGCATATAGCTGCCATACAAACTGATCGGTCCAAATCAAACCCTTGTATGGAAAACTTTTTTGTTTAAAAAAAAAATCTTCACGAAATTCGGCATATATTATTGGGCAAGGCAACGGTACAATCTCTAAACAAGTTGTTCAGATCGAACAACTATAGCATATAGTTGTCAATAAAATTGACCGAAAAAAATCAGGATAAAGATCTTCATAAGAGATACGTGGCTATAAAGAACTATATAATAGCTTCGGTGCAGTAAAGTTAAAGTTTTTTCTTGTTTTAGGACTCAAATACGAGCGCAGAAGCAATTTACGACTTTGCTTTTGTTTTCGTTATAGCAACACTAAGCATTCTTGAAATGGTTTTGGTAGAAAGTAACTGGGGTAAATATCCTTGGCCAAATATAAATCGTACATTTCGGCTTCATAACCTCTTAGGCCAGTCATGGAGAACTGTAAAATTATGGTATTAACTCAGATATGGCATTTTCGATTGTGTAAAATTGTGAGTCCTCCTGTCTCTATAATGAGATTTTTAAGAACCACCTTTTAAACTAAAAAGCAAGCTATTAAAAATTTTGAGAAATGCTGTCGAATTGGCAAACCTTCGCCGAATAAAAATTTGGGTCCGTTGGTGGTATTGAAATAGTCTGAATAAAGGAACAATACTGCTTGAAAATATTTCGATTTTATAGTGTTTCGGTTCTGATGTCGTTGTTGTAGAGGCGAGAATTATGTCGAGTTGACAGTCCTTGGCGGGATAAAAATCTTAGTCTGTTCCGATTACTTAGACCCGACTGTCGTGGGAACGGTTTCGGTTCTGATCTTTAAGAGCGCCTTCATTGAAGAGTTTGGACTATAAACTCTTTCGTTAGCACTATCTTTCATTTTAAAATAACCTCAAAGATATTATCACATAGACTTAAAAGTGTCCTAAACACAAAATATAACCTAACAAATTTCTATGTCAACCTCAGTTGCTACGAAGCGCCAATGTTTTTCATATATTTACCTATATATCTAATATATCTAGCAGTCTTTCGGCTGCGACTTGAAAGTTGAGTAGTAGTAGTAATAGTAGTAAAGCCTGTCATTGGAAGTAGTCCTTTCATAAAAATATTAGTATTTTAAATAACAATCGAATACAGACGGTCAATATTATTCTTAGCTGCGTTGAATCAGTAATATAATATATGGACACAAGACATGTAACATGAACATTACATCCTTTTATATGTGGCGGACTACGCACTTTTTTCGCATACTGTATCTCTTAAATTTACTCACAGAGTTAAAAAACTTTCTAACCTTACTTCAAACGGAGTGAACAAAACTATCACGCCTTTAACTCAAATCATATGTATTAAAATTATATATTGGTAGTCAAAAATATTGGTAGCTGCAAAGGTGCATGCATGCAGGAGTAAATAGCAAGCAATAATTAAATGAAATATCTTTAACTGTTTCTGCGCTGCTCTGTTTTATTTGTTTTTATATCTACAATTGCATAATAGTTTCAGCTATATTCTTCATTAATGACCACCATGTCCACCTCCTTTTGCTCCTCCTCCCATGTTAGCACCCATGCCAAAACCCATTCCGGCACCACCACCAGCGCCACCACCTGCATCACCACCGCCGCCACCGCCTTGTGCAGCGCGACGGAAGCGACCAGTTAGACTCTTAGCCATTTGGGTGTTTGCTGGAGACTGCAAAATAAATATTTAATTAGAAAAATTGCGAGTAAAGAAAAAAGTCCTGTTTTTTAAATCACTGCACTCACCAACATAGCCGCCAATACAGTACAAATCAAAACAATCAATACTAAGAATTTCATGATTTCGGTAGAAGCTTGCCTAGGTAAACCAGTGTCGAATTCAAAACTATTCATTGACGCTGTGTCCACAGCCACTTTTTATAGTTTAGTTTTTGAAAAAAAAAAAACAATTCATATTGTGAAGATGCAATCGCATTGGGTCAAATATTCACGTTATTATGATTTGTTTACGTTTTGTCAAGAAATAATTGTGTCTGATTTTTGTATTAACATGCAATGTGTAATTGATCTAATGATCTTGATAAGCATCTGAAATAATAATTATTTTTAAGGTTGTTATTTAAATTTTCTGTAAAAAAAAAGATAAATGCAAATGCTTTGTAAAAAATTTACCATTAATTAAATTTTCAACAAAATGTATACAGCTGAAAACTGGATAAAAAGGAAGGAAGTCAGTACAAAATCCTGACTGTCTTTCATAAAATGAGTGTACGAGGTGTGCAAAGGAAAAGGTGAATTTTGAATTTTTTTGAAAAGTAATGATTCATTCATTATTATCTATTTTGTTCCTTTTTAATGTAATCCCCTTCGGGGTTCGCTAAAAATCAATATTCACCTTTTCCTTTGAACACAGCTGGTATATACTCGTATAAATATTTAAGTAGGTTATGCCGAGCTCATGCTCTTTTTGATTAAAAATCAAGTTACATATACTTATATACCACCAGTAAGTTTATTGCATATATTTGACAGATGTCAATCCCACGAAATAATTAAGGCTCGTTCACAACAAATTTTCGCTACAACGCATATTTATCTTAACGCTCACTTCATACCGGTACACCTGGTACTATTAAAGTTCGTATTATTCAAAACAGTTTGCTTCGGCAGTGTTTTACTGATTTTAACTTTTTAAGACGAGTCATACTTTTGTAGTACGGCAAAGTTCTTTCTTCACAGCAGGTCTTATTCTCAGTGATTGCTTTCAAGCAAACTTGCTCTTGAGGTCTAGAAACAAGATAAAGTCATTTTGTGTAAAATCTCTAGAACTGTACGAACTAAATCTATAGATATTCGTAAACACACATTCTTTATTTTTAGTACCTTTCTCTAGATTTAGTCGATAATCTCTGACAATACATAATAGATATCTTTCGTAAAACTAAAGAAAGAAATAATATTGTAAGCAGAGGTACAACCAGCATTCTCGTTGTTTCATAAGACTTCACACCAAATTAACTAAGCTTGGTCACACAGTCGAGCGAAGAGCAAAGCTGACAGAGTATTTGAACGAGCAAAGTCGAGTAGTAGCAGTGTGCTTGTCGGTACTTATAGTCAAAATTTAGTAAATAATCAGCGCACCAATTCTTGCCTCTGTTCTTCTTAGACAGAACTGTAGAATTATCTATTTCTGAATTTGTATTTAGACGAAACTTTAAAAGGTGTGTGTGAAGCTATCCTGTCAAATAAAAAAGCTTTCCATACAAGAACTTGATTTGGATCGATCAGTTTGTATGGCAGCTATATGCTATAGTAGTCTGAAATAGGCGGTTCTGACAAAATCCTAGCTTTTTAGGGAGAAAAGGACGTAGATAGATATCTTAAGAACTAAGGGACTAGTACGCTTAAAGGTCGTCATGCTGATCGGATGTTTGTAATAGGATAAGTGGTCTCTTGATCGGAATTTAGCCTTAATAACCTAACTCTCTGTTTTACTCGTTGTTTTACTCTTCATTTCTAAAAAGTAATGCATTTCGATGCTTATAAGTACATTCGACCAAAAATTCTCTAATAAATGAAAATCTCTTCAAATATAATATTTCTGTACTGCTCTGTTTTATTGCACTAAATATTTGAAAACTAAAATTATTGGCCTCCTTGTGCTCCTCCTCCCATATTAGCACCCATGCCAAATCCCATTCCGGCACCAGCACCACCACCTGCACCAGCACCACCGCCTTGAGCAGAGCGACGCGCACGATCGATTAGGCCATTACTTCCACCAGGCATCCCAGGCATTTGAGGCATTTGGGGCATTTGAGCATTGGTTGGGTACTGGGAAATAAATTAAATATTTAATTAAGAATATGAAAAGTTGAAAGTTTAATGTTTTTTGGGTTATTTGCACAAAAAGATAAAAAATTATTTAAAAAATTGAAAATTTTTGCATATTGAAAAAATCCTTTTTATTTTAATCCTTTGACTCACCATCATCACCGCCAATACTGTGCAAATCAAAGCAATCATTGCTATGAACTTCATGTTTCCAGAAAAAATCGATGACGTTTTTGAACAGTAGTAAATTGAAAACTAACTTAGTTCAATGTCATCGCACTCCCTTTTTATAGTTTAGTAGCTAAAAATACTAGTTTAGACCACATTACATACATATAGAAAAGATGCTATCTCAGTGATTTATTTAAACATGAAATAAATTTTTTTTTTTTACATTTTGTTAAAGAATAATTGTTTGTGACTCTTTCTGTAACATGCAACATTAATTTAGTCACTTATTTATCGAGATATAAATATATTTATTATATATATGGTAGTTAACTGCTCTTTCCAAGCTAAGTAACTTTGGAGAAGTTCAGTTTAGAGTTCAGCGTGCATGTAAAATTTTGCTGCCAAATTGTAACGCCAAGTGCAGTCCGAAACTTACCTAGTGAGTACTTTTAACGCAGAAGATACCGCCATTTTTTTTTTTTTACTATTATATACTTCATCTATCACAACTTAATCGATAGAAAATGGATAGAAATTCCCTGGAATGTACTATTGCAAAAGACAATGCTTACACCTTCAATCACTCTGTTCCTATTAAATTTTGGTGCGATGGATAATAGGTACATGTCTGCCTAAACTTGTAATTAATAAAAAATAGCATACTTCGCAAATATACTTTGCCGTTGATATCTAACGTGGTTATAATTCATTTATTATTATTCACATATTTTGTATGAATTTTTAAATGTTCATGTACAATATTTGAGTTGTTGGTGCGCTTTACTATATTTGGTTGTTACGATTTGAGTGTAGAATTATTAGAAACGTTGTCCTTTTCGATATGCAATCGTTGCCAAAAGTGCCGTTATGTTTTATTGCTTCAAATATTTAATGGACACTTTGTCCACCTCCTTCAGCGCCTGCTTGGCCACCCATATTTGCACCGAAACCAAAACCCATGCCAGCACCAGCGCCACCACCTGCACCGCCACCGCCCCCTTGCGCGGCACGACGACTCATATATCTGAAGGGTTGAACGGACATCTCTGAACTTTCAGATGTCACTGGTGTTCCAGCATTGCACCGATGCTACATAAAAAATTTTGAGTAATTAGCAGCTGTTACTTGAAATTATTACTATTTTATTTTATTTTATTCACCATCATAATGCTCAATACGGTGCCAATAAAAGCAATTAGAATTATACTACGCATATTTTTGGCACAAATTTTATTACTTCGTAACTCTGTATAGACAATTCAATACTACCGCTCAGCGATGCACCAAAACTTTTTATAGTTTCGTTTTAAGGTTTATATTGACGATAATATTTGCAGATTTTATCGCCGGTATTTTGTTTAAAATTTGCAATAAAAATGTTCTACATTTTGTATGCGATTTGTGAAGTGATTTGTTATACATTTTTGGTTAATTACATGATCTTAATTACATGATTACATTATGTAGTACCGTTCACTTTACGATTTTAGGAAATTAGTCGACTAAAAGTATCTATATTAATATTGGCTCCGAAAATACTTGACAGATTTGAAAAAAATCTTTCACCGTTGAGAAGCTACATTCTCTCCGGTGAACATAGGCTATATTATACTTTCAAAAAAGTTAGGGATCTGTACTAAAACGCCAATAATGTAATCCAAGTTGTAAAAAAAATTACCTAAAAAACCATGGCCATACTAACTAAACAATCGGGGTCAAGTACTTTTATGGTAAACTTTTTTATATGACATAATATCCTCACCAATTTTGGCATGAGTTAGTTGCTAAGGCAACAATGTAATCTCCGATAGCTGCCATAAAAACTGGCCGATCAAAATCAAGTTTTTGTATGGCAACTTTTGTGTTTGTGACGGGTATTATTGCCGAAATTAAGCATACTTTTGTTTTTACTTTTTTTTACTACACGCTACAAGTAATTACTTCGTCAATTACTCATGTGAATTACATTACCATAACTAAATAATAAACAAACAGTGTTTTTTTTTATCGAAACATTTTAAGGTGTCGCTAGTAAACAAACCACAGTTAACGTAAAATTGTTCAACAATCTTGTTGAAAATTGTGTAAAGTAATCATGAGATATCGATCTGGCTGCTAATGCAGCACAAATCACTAAATGATGATTTACGAACATGCTATACAATCATATGAGGTTATAAATTATTGTAAAACACTATATAATTGCTATATATGTGTGTATACTCGTATTTGAGGCTACAAAGATCAGAGAATTTTAATTTTATATCATACAATTTTTTTCCGCATGTGCTCTATATATAATATATTTATGTTATATACTTATATAACAAATTTCAGGAACAACTCGGCTATATAGTCTTCAGCGGTATACGCAAAGTAAATGGCGCCAATGGCATACGTATTATAGTACAATCCTCAAAGCATCCATCGTTCGTGGAGGATCGCATTGAAAGCTTCTTGGAGAACTATTTGGTAAAAACTTATAATTATAAAAAAATGAAACAACCTTGTTTTAAAGTAATATTCATTCTTTTGTACAGCAAACTATGGAGGAAATGCCGCTGGATGAATTTGAACGGCATAAAGAGGCTTTAGCATTGAAAAAGTTGGAAAAACCTAAAAATGTTACACAACAATTCCATCAATTTTATAATGAAATTTCTGTTGGGCAATATCATTTCGAACGAGATGAAGCGGAAGTGGCGATTTTGCGTAAAATTACGAAGGAAGAGTTTTTGGAATGCTTCAAGGTAGGTTTCTAAACGAAGCGATTTGTGAAAAAAAAATATTTACTTAAGTAATGAATGAAGAATGTAGGGAAAGATAAATCTGGTGTTAATGCCGGGTTTTCAAAAGTGAAATAGCGTGTTTTAATAGTGCTACCAGGGCCGTTGAGATAAAATCTGGGTTCGGGTATGATTAAAATGAATTGTTGGAGAAAAAAAAACCTGCAAAAAATTGTTGCAAAGCAACGGGCCACGCCGGGAAGTCTGCTAAGAACTCTGAACACGTGAGGGTTCGTTCACCAAGTATTACAATAACAACATCTTGAATTGCGGCAGTCAGTAAATGGTGGTTTTTGTACTTATTAATCGCTGTGAGCAGTTTCTTTATATAATTCCATATTTTGCACCTACCTGCATTTACATAGGTATATAATAAATTGCCCTCTCACTTATTTACAGAGCTTCATCACACGTGCTGGTCCCGAACGCCGCGTACTCTCCGTGCATATTATCTCTACACAAACAAATGAAGTGAATAACGAAATTGACACGACCGAAACAGAAATAACAAATATGGAAAGACATGAGAAAATCACCGATTTGGAAACGTTTAAATCAAGCAAAGAATTATATCCCATTTGTTTGCCGGTATTGGATATTAAAGCGAAAGGGGCGCGTAGTAAATTATAAATATTTTGAAAAACAACAAAAAAAAATAAAAAAATTACTTGCAAACATGTATACATAACTAACACCAGCATTTTTTTTAGCTAAATTATTCGCTTTTAATTATTAAGAAAAAGGAATAGCAAGAAAAACAAAATACAACAACAAGAAAAATTGGTTAAACTCAAGCTAAGTGTTGATTTAGGTGAGTTGCAAAAAATTTTTTATTTTTCATTTTTATTTTTTATACTATTTGAAATATGTTTTGTATAATATTTAAAATATTTGAAAATTTCTAGAAAAAACACAAATTAAAATAGTTAACGATACACACAATTATTTAGCACCCATTGCTTTCATAAATTTCTTACACTTGTTTAATGGTCATGTACCTCAAGTCCGCTCGCTATAATTAAATTTAATTAATAATTAACAAATATTTATAATGCCTTTTATGCTTTAAAAATCATAAAAAAATATATTAAATCGCAAAAATGAAAGAATAAACGTTTTATTAAATTATAAACACATACATACATATTTAACTAGTGCAAAAATATATAAAATTAGCAAAGATGCAGTTATAAATAAAGAAAAATTTGTATTAACAACGAATCGTTTTTGATAAATGGACTGTTGAGTAGTGCGCTGTTCGGTATGAGAAAGCCGGACTCCAGATTATGTATTTCTTGTGAAATTAAATCCTTTGAGCGTTGATTGTGCTGCAAAAAATAAAAAATATGTAAAGACATAAGAAAAAAATCGAAAATTAATTAATTAGAAAAAAAAAATAGTTTGGAATGTAAAATTTTATGATTTCATGTATGTATATTAAATTTTAGTTATTGCATATTTTTATAAAAAAAAAGTTGGAAAAAATTTTTATTTTAATTCTTAATCACAAAATTGGAGTTTTAAAAATTTAACTTTAAAACCAAAAATTGGAATTTAAAGTTGAAAATATAATCTATATATAAGCCTAAATTTTTGAATTCATAAATTCGCAACCCTGGTTACAAAATAGATTTTCTCAAAATCGTAAATTTTATAAAAATTGAAAATTTAATTTAAATTTAGATATACATAATTTAAAATTAAGTTTTCTTCAGTATATGTGTTTACAAATTAATATTGTTTTTTTTAATCCGTTAATTTGCTTTAGAAATTTGAAAATTATTTTTAATTAAGATTTTCGGTACAACAAAATATAAAAAAAATACTTCAAATATTTACTCAATTATTTTTTAATGCATTATTTGTAACGCTGATTGTAACACCTTGTGCACATACCTGATTGAGTACCGATATTTTATGCTTAAAGATGATTTTCTCATTTGCAATTTCCTTGAATAAACCACCCATGTCGATAAAGATATTATTCCGATTGCTGGATTTTTTAAGCGCCTGCGTCAGTTGAAGGTAGAGAAAATCGCGATGTAAGTGTTGGAAATTGGCTGTGAGATGCAATGGTTTGCCTATCAAAACGAAAAAATGGAATTTTTATAGCACAAATATATTTAAATAATTATAAAGCAGGGCTTGACAGTTGCACCTTCTATTTATTTTTATCTATTCGCAAAGGTGGTTGAAAAAACTAGTAAAAATATGCCAAAAATTCGATTATTACGTACCGAATCACGGTACATACAAATGGAGGTTATTAAGTTCTGCTGTAAAGTTCTTTTTGAAAATATTTATTTGTGAGAGTGTTTGAAAAATTAGTAATAATATGCCACAAGTTCGATTATTATGTACCGCATAACGGAACAGCTTAGTGATGGTGTTTTGTATTAAATTTCAACTTCTTAAAGAGATATATTTTAGTCTTTAAAAAAAATCGTTTTTTTTTTCAAAGTTTAGCTTTTCAAGAATATGTCTGCAAGAGAATTTTTCAAAATTCAAATTATTTTCGGTGATATAGATCTTTTGCTGACCCGACATCTTAACTGGTTCGGTCGGAACTGAAACTTTAAACGCGTTTTTCTCGAAACTGTCTTTGTCAAAACGATACTCACAATTTCTCAGGTTTTTCTGGACCGATTGAACTGAAATTTTTAGAGAGTCTTCTTTATGGAACTAGCCATATCACCAAATTTTATTATTTTTATTATTTTTAAAAAATTCGAAACTGTCAATACTGTCGTACAAAAATTGTTTTTTTTTTTTTCAGGCGGTTGCCATTTCCTGAAATTTTTTTCCCAAACTTTACCGTAGTTCCAGACATTGCGACTTTTTTCTAAATTAAAATTTTTTATTTTATTTTTTTTTTGCTTTCATATTGCTTGGAGTATGGTCACGTGGAATTTGTTTTAGACCCCCCACCCAAAAAAATGCGTGCAAAATTTCAGATCGATAAGGCGGACACAACCAAATGGACTCAGTTGGCCACGCTGATCATTAATATACAATATATATTTTTATAGGGTCTCTAACGTTTCCTTCTGTGTGTTACAAACTTAATACACCCTATTCAGGGTCTTAAAATAATATGTACCTTTTATCGAAAACACCGGACTCTCCACCACTGAACTACTACCGCTCTCAATGCGTTCGGTGAAGTTCTCCAATTTCCAGTAGTATGTGAACACCTTCAACTCTCGATCGCTTAACATTGTGTTATTAAATCTCCGAACTTCTTGCAACAGTTCACTAGATATACGCGTGGCTTGGCCCTTCGTGTGGAAGGTTTTCATATGTGGCAACTTTTTAGGCAAAACATCTTCAGCATCCATTGCTGCTGAAGACTCTTCATATTCATAGCTCACTTCGGCGGATGATGTGTCCACAGCATTATCTTTGGGCTCCACAATCGGTTGGAATTTCGGTTTAATGGCTGTTGTAGGTTTGACACGCAGCGGTGGTTTATGTTGTTGTGCGTGTAACGTTGTTGTTTGCGTAGTTGGTGACGGTGTAGCTGGTGTTGCGGTTGCAAAAGGTGTTACCGGTATGTTGGTTTGTTGTCGTGCATGTAACACAGCGGGCGGTGTAATTGTTGATGTTGCGAAGGTCATTGGAGGCAG